AGGGGTTTAGTGACGTCATCTCTCCACTTCATGCCTAATGTTTTTAAATTGTTGCATCACTGCCATTTTCTCTTTCAGTTTATCTCTCTTTTAATCCTGCTGGCATCTATTATTTTCCCTCCTTTTATTTATTTTTTCGCATAATTTCCTGAAGTTACTCCTCAGCTTCGCTAAAGATCCTGGAATCTTTCTCCCATCAAGGTTTTCATTTTAATTATCTTCTGATTTTCCTCCTTTCTTCCTCTATCGCTTTCATCAGTTTTATCAGGCTTAAATTCTGCTTCTATGTTCCTCCTTCTCCATTAAACTCACCCGCTCGTTTGTTTTTGTCCTTTTGCTAATTTCTGCTCTTGCCTCACTTCCTGTCCCTTTTTATCCGTGACGTCATATATTCCGTCTCATTCGTCATGTTTCTACAGTCATCAGCAGTTTATGGGATCAGATCAAACCTTACCGCCCTCCTTTCTTTGCTGCGTTTCTCCTCCGTCAAACTCAGCCCGCCACGCGCCGCCTTCTGTCTCTCTTCTTCTCCTCCTACCGGCACCGGTCAGACGCAGAACGTCATGACGCCATATCCGCCTCCTTGTCTCGCCCAGAAGGTGAATTACCGCCACCTGCTGGTAGAAAACTCCGGCGCAGCCTCGTTAAAATTATGTTTCTCCTTAAATGTGATGAAATGAGCGGAAGCAGCTTTAAAGTTCGGCTGTTCGCTTCTGCTCTGATCCAGGAATCATTCCCACCTGATCCTTTATTTTCTGAATCCCAGAATTCCTCATCCTGCTGTCTGAGCGAACAGCAGCTGATTAATAGCAGTTCATGAAGCTTCAGGTGAACATGTCTCCATCTACTGGTGGAAAGCAGAACTACAGCTAGTAATACAATCTGGAATTTTTTTTTTTTTCAATTGTTTTTCTTGTTTTTTCCCCCATTTAAATTCTTTTGAAATTGTTGATGTGTCTGAATAGCCAGTATAAACGACTCATAGTGGATTTAATCTTTTAATTTCCATGTTTTAGATGTATTGCTGAGGAAATGAGGCTGCACAGATGGGATGGGTGAAATGAAGCCGTCTGAGGTCAGAGGTCATCCATCATGGCCAGAAGGTCGTCTCCTTTACTGCTGCTGGACTTTTCCAGCTCCGCCTCTTCATCTGTAAACTGTCCAACGATCTGAGCCAGAACCGAAGCCGTGGGTCCATCCTGGATCAGACAGAAGACAGAAGCTCAAACAGCAGCAGCTTCAGTGAAGAACAGCAGGAGTTCACCTGGACTTCATGATCACTGAGAGAAACAGAACAAACCTTTCATAGTTCAGATGATTTAGGAGCATTTACATTTAGATCTGGACCGATTTCCTCCCTAAACTCTGACCCCTGGGATTTTATTTTTATTTGTGTAAATATTTTAATCTTTTTATCTATTTTTCATATTTATAATTTACTTTATTCATCAACGATAAATCCCTGGTTGAATCTGGTCTAAGTGGTTTCATAAACAGTAGGTCAGATATCAGCGGAGTGGAGAGGACCTACCTGCACAGCCTGGATGGTGACGACTGGAACCATGGACTCCTGCTCTCTGCCTGAAGCTCTGTTGGTCCACAGGACAGAACAGCCATGAGACAGGAACGGATCTATAGGGTAAAGCTAAGGAGTTCAGAACTCACGCCTCCTCCTGGTCCGCGGGGAACAGGTTGATCCGGAAGCAGGGTTCTTCTGAGGGAAGGTTCTCGGCCTTCATGCTGCCCATGAGCCGGGCCAGCAGGTTGAGCTCTTCTTTCGCCAGCGGGTTGGGGGTGCTCTCCGGCTGCAGCGAGACGGGAGCACAGAGGTTAGGCAGGGACTGGACCTCATGATGGGGGCCTGACATGCTGCTGGGTTTGGGATCCATGAATCAGAAGCGTTCACACACAGATAAGCAGAACCTTTTCTAGACACAGGAGATTAAAAACACTAAACAACCAACAGTTTAAACCAAAACATTTTGGATCCATTGAAACCGGACTCAGGCTTGGATCAGCAGCTGTTACCTGAACATCAGGTGTCTTTGATGTCTGCGTCTCCTCTGGGTGCTCCGCTCTGTACCTTTAATCAGACAGCAAACAGAGAACTCAGCCGGGTGGCCCAGAGCACGCTGACAGCTGCACTATGGTGGCAACTCTGGGTCCGTACAGGTTCCTGCCCAGTCTGAGGACTCTGTCTCCGTTCAGGTCAAACGACCCCGGTCCAACCGGACTGCTGTAGCTCCCTCCAGGCGGAAACTCCCTCTGACTCACCTCTCTGCCTCGGAGGTCAAACTTCCTGGAAACAAACAACAGATCATGGATCCCTTCTTAAATCGGAGGAACGAAGGAAGGATCAATTGGAAACCAACTAAATCTTCCTCAGAAGGCCTCTAAGCCACAGACCTGTTCCTATTCCCTCCCAGGAGGACCTTCAGGGGACACTTTGTCTAGTTTGTCTTTCCAGAATATCTTTCCTTTAAAGTCGTAGGAAAGCGGCTGTTCCAACCATTGTATTTCCATATTCTCCCAGTGGTTCCCGACTTTACACGAGTGAATAAAGTGAATGTGATTGGTCGATTATCAAGGGGGCAGGATTGCTGCGTTGGATCGCTAGCAAGTTTGGTCGTGGCTGGTTTGTCGAAAACATCTTGCTAACCAGTTAGCAAC